TTTCAAGGGCTGTGTCCTTTGTTGTACTATCTCAGTATTTTCCAAAAGCACGAGGAGATCCCGGGGAAGATAAACCTCTGCCAATAAGGTAAATGTTCCTGTTGATTGTGGGGAAAAATATGATGTCCCTCAGTGTTAGCTGCCCCTATGGGAAGAAAGTGGTGGCAAGTCTTGTTTTTATTCTGAATTTCCTCCTGGACAGTGCAGGTCCTTTTTGTTTTTGGTCTCCTGGCCAAGTCAATACATTTTCCTTCCTCTCTTAAGGAATTCCTACTCCGGATGGCAAATTTCACCCACGCAGCTCTGGGGTTCCCATGTGTCCGACTCAGAAGCAGACAGAGTGCAAAGGTAGCACTTCCCTTTCCTTTTTCATCAGCATAGGCTTGTGCACGATGAAAGAGCCCAGCACTTTCGGAGGCCGAGCACCTTGGCACAATAGAAAACGCAGACCCAAAACAACAGCATGCATGATAATGAGCCTTTCCTTTCTCCTGGGAGGTGTCATGTGATATTCCCCTAGGAGCATCTCTAGTCCCTCCTGGGTTCTCCCCTTGCAACCACTTTATAGGGTAGAAAGAAACATGGAGCGTTGGAATATTTTTACGGGGAGATAGAGGGTCTTGCGATGCTGCCCAGACTGGTCTCAACTCCTGGGCTCAAGTGATCCTCCTTTCGCCTCAGCCTCCCATGTAGCTGGGATTACAGGCTTGAGCCACCACGCCTAGCTCAGATTTATCTTCTAACACATTCTTTTAAAAGGTCATTTTAAAGATTCTTTTTATCTAGTTTAAAAAACAAAATAAGTCCCAGGAAGAAACTGAAACAGGAAGACTCCTGCAAAGCTCATCTCCTAAATAGGTTGGTTTTTATTTGATGAAAATGCTCAGGTTGTGAATATTTCTGACAACAAGCTGGTTCACACGACAGAGGATACTGCTGGGAAATGTGGGGAGGAATAAGCCTATGTGTGTCATTAGTCACAATGGGCATTTCCTATTTAAAAAAAAAAAACACCCCACATTGAAGAGTTTCAGAAAATGAATTCCTCATTTTTGAGCTGCGTTTCAGGTTGTGATAGAACTTAGAAACAAAGGAACATGCTCTGCCAGTCCCAGTCACAAACTCCGTTTCAGAAATTAAGGCCCAGGGCAATTCTGATGTTTTGATTTTTTTTTCTTTCCTTTTCAGTGTGTAGAAAATGACTAAAGTCAAAAGCAAAGATTCCTAAGAGTCATTCTGACAGGCATGTGGGGCCAGGGACAGTGCTGGAAGATAGAGGACAGGTGGTTCCAGATGACATGCGAGATACACTGAAGGCCTGCGTTCCTGCCCCCACCTCCCCAGACCAACACCAGTAGTAGAGTAGTTGATGTGTTTCAGTAAATAAATATTTCTCTAGGCATTTAGTAAAGCCAGGGTATGCGATCCATTTATTTGGAAACAGAGTTTTATGTAGTGTTTTATTATTTTTCCCTTGTAAGGTTTTCTTTTTTCCCAAAGAAGAGTACTCATTAATTTCAACCATGGCCCTTAGGTATGTTGAAATCTTCTACTTATATTGGCTACCACAGAATCTAAGTTCAACTAACAATCTTTTACGAAGAGCAAATATTTGTCAGTACTAAAATTGAATGTGTTCCTCTGTGAGATACACTCCAACACCATCCTAGAGACTCCAGGAACCTGGGTGAAGCTGTCGCATAAAGAAGCTGGAACTTGGGGCTCTCTGATACAACCCCCAACTGTGGTGCTCAGAGGGTCCATATTTTCCATGGCTGTAAACTGGGATTTCATCCAGCTGCTGAGCTACTGCCTTATAATACATGACAAGTACCTTGAAGATGGGATTTAAGTCAATTCATTCCTAAAGCATCTGAAAAATCTGGCCAATGCCTTTTTCAGGGTGTGTATCTTCAGTAAATAACACAAGCTCATATATATTGAAAGCTTACTTCGCACTAAGTACTGCAAAAAGAGCTTTCCATGTGCTGGCCATGCTCAGTGGCTCACATCTGTAATCTCAGCACTTCGGGACACCAAGGCGGGTGGATCATTTGAGGTCAGGAGTTCGAGACCAGCTAGACCAACATGGTGAAACCCTGTCTCCACTAAAAATACAAACATTATCTGGGTGTGGTGGCATGTGCCTGTAGTCCCAGCTACTCAGGAGGCTGAGGCAGGAGAAAGGCTTGAACCCGGGAGGCGGAGGTTGCAGTGAGCCAAGATCACGCCACTGCAGTCCAGCCCGGGTGATAGAGTGAGACTCAAAAATAAAAAAGGCAGGGGAGGGGGGGATTTCCATGTGTTATCCTCTCTGATCCTCCCAACAAGTCAATGATAGAGTCATCATTATTATTCCCATTATATAGATGAGGAACTGAGGCACAATAAGTAAAGTCAATCGCTCAAAATCATACAGCTAATAAGTAGTGGATGTGAGATACACATCTTAGCATCCAGATGCCCAAGCTTTAGAAAGAAAAGTCTCAAAACGATTATACTATCCTGCCCCCCATTCAATAAAAAATATCACTCCTTAAGTGAGACATTGTTCTAACTTTAGAGTCAGCTCTTCTGAGATGGTTTTGCAAAGTTAGTTTTTGTATAGATCTGCATAAAGTTAGGTTACGCTACAGTAATAAAAATACCTCCGAAATCTCAATGGCCCAACACAACAAAGGTGAACCTCTTGTTCACTTCTGCTAGGACATCATTAGCCAGGTCTAGTCATGCAGCCCCAACCTGACTACTAAGGAATACTGGGGGACACCCAGAAGGTTTGGTGAGCAGTGACTATGCCCCGCCACCTGGAAAGTCCTCTCAAGTCTCCAAGGACTTTGTGGCAACAGCATTGCTCTGAAGGATGAGGTTCCAGTCCCAGGTCTTCCACAGACCCACATGTGGCTTGAGCAAATGACTCCTTTTCTGAGCTGCAGTTTCTTCATCTCTTAAACGATGTGATTACACTACTGTCCTTCAAGATCACTCCAGCATACTTTTGAATTTACAAATGAATGTCCCTTACAAAAGACATGTGCCAAGGCTACGCTGGCACCCTCCAGAGGATGTGGAAACGTGTCTCGATGTGAGGCAAGGCTGTTCTGTGGCACAAGTCAAGCTCACCGTTTTGCTTGGATGGCGGGCTTGGGGAGGCTGTTTGCCAACCTAACGGAATGGGGTCAGCGGTTCATGGCAACTCCTAGGCCTCTGGAGATGTTGGGAGCTTTTTTTGTTGGTTTTTACACCTAATAAAAAGCAATTTCCTCTTTTCAAAAGACACATTTTTTTTATGTTTTGAAAGATTAGTGGTTTGTGGGGGCGGAGGGGTTGTTTGGCTTTGTTTTTTAAATTAAAAGGACATCATCTTTTAAGGCTAAAGATATGAGTAACAGAAAGGACAGATAGGTTAACCCAGGTCACTCTGCAAGACAAGAGCAGAGCAAAGAGGAAACCCCACTGCCCTGGATGGGCCTCACTCCAAGGCAGGAAATCATTCTGGGATAAAAATGATTGCCAAATAGTCCGTGGTGAACAAGTGTAACGGGTCCCAAACATGGATTTTATATCCCTTTGAACACACCTAGAAAAGGGGACTCGGCAAAGTAGATTTTGGCTCCAACCTAGCTCTGAAAAGACGCCCATTGAGACACAACCCTGAACCAACCCAGGAGCAAGCTCCTTGCTGGCCTCTTCTGGGAATGGAGCAATTTTACCTTTTCTGGAAGTGAGATTAAGGGCAGGTAAGTGAACAGTCACACATGAGCCAGCTTTCCCTTCTTCAAAACCAGCCTCGGCTATCTCTAGACGGGAACGTGAAGAGCTCACACACCACACCGTGTTCACACTAAGTTACACCACCATTCCATCACATTAGCCCTGAAAAAAACATCTGCATACCCACAAGGCCAGCCTGCAAAGCGAAAAGAGAAATAGCAGCAGTGCCAACCCTTTCCCTGGCAATACGAATAATTCCCAGGTGTGTCTAAAGACCACGCTGCTTAATCTACTTCCTCCTCTTTTACCCTGAGGACCTGCTTGCCCATCCAGCAGAACATACTTCCCAGAGGTTTGCCAGACTAGCCAAGCTGACCCAGTGCTATCCTTGGGGCTTTGACAATATCCCAAAAGTTTCACGATAGCGGTATCTGAGGGGCTAGTGCTCCCCTTTTCCCCAATGCATCCCTCATGTTGCCATAAGGAAAAAACCCCTTACCCTACACCATTCGTGGTGACTTGATTTGAAAATACTTTCTCAAACATCCAGTTTGATCTTTATGACAGACTTCAGGGAACATAGATTCTCATTTCCACTGTAAGATGAGGAAAGTGCAGCTCATAAGGCTTTGAGTGGCTTGCCGGGCTTCCCCGGCATTCACAGGTACAGAGTGAGAGTGTTGTAGCTAGAACTTGGACTTAGATGTTCTAGTTCCATACCCAAGCTCCTCTACCATTTGCCTGACATTCACACGGGTTCTTGGTTGAATGTTACCAACATGATGTTCCCCTGCTGAGAGCATCAGGACCCCAATATATCTAAGTTGGCCCACAAGTTCCATAAACAGAGGCCGGTATTTCTCATGTCAGGGAGAGGACTGACAGGAAATGATTATGAAAGTAAAGGAAACTGAAGTCAGAACAATCCTGACCCCAGGTCACAATAGCCCTCGCACAGGAGGACATTCTGGCTGCTCCATGACTCAACCTGCGTGGGAGGCCCCTCTAATATCCAACTCCTCTCCCAGATTGTTCAGGTTACCAGGGGCCATTTGGCTGAGAGAAATTCAGGCTCCTGGTCAGCGGTCAGAGGCCTCGGGCCTCTTGTGGTCAACAGTCTGTTTTCCCAGGTCTCCATGCAACCATGACCCCAGGAACCATCAGATGACAGGACAACACTGGTGATAACTGCCCAAGAAGCCCCTGCAGGCCTTGGAGCTCAAAGTCCGTGAGACATCTCCACTCCCCAACAAAGGCCCACTGACCTCAATAGGAAATCGGCACAGGGCTAGGACGTAGCGTACAGACACCCACTTCAACTGCTTTTGCATAGAAGGAAAGATCCACTTGAGGAAAAACAGGCAGTTCCACTGACAGCAGTTAATCATCAGGACTCTGGTTATCTGGAAAACACACAGAAAGTTACAAAGCAAGCTAGAGTGGAAGGACATGAAGAATCTTATTCTTGCCTGAAGCTTTTAATGCTCACAAGTGCACACAGTCACCATCACATCTGATCCCACAACCCTCCCCTCCCCCCGGGGAATGCAGAAATAATTATCACCATTTGAGGAATAATTATCCCCAAGGAAAGAAGTTCCATAAAGAAATTTGCCACCAGTTCCAGAAAATTCCAGAAAAATAGATTTGCCCGTGATTTCACAGCTGTCTAGTAGCTGTTCCCCACACAGACCGGCCTTGTTCAGGTTCTTCTGGGTCAACAGTGTCCTCCCTTTTGCCCTCTGCTCTCTCAAATCTTTAAAGGTGAAGTTCATGTTCATCTTCTTGGAGAAGCTTTGCCTATTCACTCTAGAGCCAGAACTTGGTCTCTGAACTCCCTCTTCAGGTCCTTGTCCTTCTTTTTTAATCCATTCACCATTTATTCACCCATTCAATAATGAGATGCTGCAAGAGTTCTTCATTGGTGCAAATACCTCCCAAGCTTGGCTTCCCAGCAGCCCTGGAGTTACCTGCTTTGCAGTCATTTGTGGACTGAGAATGTTTCGTTACGTCACTCCTCTGGAATCTTCTTGTTCCTTTCCATTTCTACTCTCCTCTCCCATTCACATTCAAACATTTTCTGAAAAATATTTTTTTGAGACAGAACAATTTATTCTCCCTCACATTTTTTTTTTAGCTTTAAGTTCAGGGGTACATGTGCAACTTTGTTACATAGGTAAACTCACGTCATGGGGGTTTGTTATACAGATTATTTCATCACCCAGGTATTCAGCCTAGTACACATTAGTTATTTTTCCTGATCCTCTCCCTCCCCCCACCCTTCACCCTCTGGTAAGGCCCAGTGTATGTTATTCCCCACTCTGTTTCCATGTGTTCTTATCATTTAACTCTCATTTATAAGTGAAAATATGTGGTAGTTGGTTTTCTGTTTCTACGTTAGTTTGCTAAGGATGATGGCCTCCAGCTCCATCCATGTTCCTGCAAAGGACATGATCTCATTCTTTTTTATGGCTGCATAATATTCCATGGTATATATGTACCACAGCTTCTTTATCCAGTCTACCATTGATGGGCATTTAGATTGATTCCATGTCTTTGCTATTGTAAACTGAAATTCAGGAAATCTTTTAACAAGGTGAAAATAGGATCTAGAGACCAAAGGACAAATCTAATACAGAACCTTGATTTTATCTTTCATTGTTGTATGATTTAGATCGTTCAGCCTCTCCACTCCACTTTTGCTATAAAATGAGAGAAACTTATCACCAAGAACTAAATATCAATGAAAACTAACTCATCAGTCTCCTTAGCTGCATTAGCTGTTAAAATATTTCAATATGTCCCTAATGGTTGGTTTTAAAGAATGGCTAATGAAGCTAGACATGGTGGCTCTCACCTATCATCCCAGCTACTTGGTAGGCTGAAGTAGAAGGACTGCTTGATGCCATAAGTTTAAGACTAACCTAGGTAACATAGTGAGACTCCATCTCCCAAAAAAAAGAGAGAGAGAGAGAGAAAGAGAGTTCTCTGACTCTCCTTTCCCAAACATTGTCCTAGAGCCACCCACACTTCCCATGATCCAGCAACTGAAGGGTGAGCACCTGGACCAGACTTATAAACTTGCTTCAACACAAGGACACATCCTTTCTGACTGGTCAAAGCCTAGACATAAGGAAAGGCTACAAAAAATCAGGAAAATAAGTAGAAGAGGGAAATGCAGCTCTGAGTGGAAGTGCAACTCCTAAAAGCTCAGCAATGCAGTTGCTAAGTTGTTGAACTGCAGTGAAATCCGGGATCATAAAGCAATTTTCACCTGGACCACAAAAGCTCTTCTTGAAACACATCACTTTTCCCATTGAGAAACACTGGACTTCTATCTCCTGTCTTGTTTGCTTTTAGCCTCTCTGCATGTCTTTTGGGGTTCTCTCAGCCTGTTCCCTGAAGACCACAAAGTGAGCCCTGGCTGTGGACAAGCTGATCCCCACACAGACCAGCCTTGCTCAGGTTCTCCCGAGTCAACAATATCCTTCGTTTTCCCCTCTGCCCTCTCAAATCCTTCAAGGTGAAGTTCATGTTTATCTTTCTAGAGAAGCTTTGCCTTTCCACTCTAGTGCCTAGTGGTTCATCCCTCCTTTGAGCTCCTACAGCACTTACGATTTGGATAATATAATCTTCTGCTGCCTTTTGTTGTTTTTCTCTCATTTCATGCATATTGATCATTTGTCTTCAGTTTCACTAAAAGATCAAGAACCAATTCTTACCTTCTCCTAGACCCCTACAGCACTGGCATAAAGCAGGCAACTTAGAAATGGTGTGGTACCTGCTTGTCCATGGAAATCATGCTCACAACTAGCTTGGTCGGTCTGCAAAGGTCTCTGTCTGAAATTCTTCCACAGGTCTAATTGGGATCCATTTTAGAAGACATGGTGGGCATTTTTGACATCTGACAGCAAACTCGTGAACGTAGCTAATGTCATTCTAACTCCACAAACTGCCAGAAGATCCTAAAACCTGCTTTAAAACCAGACATTGATCAACTGTTACAGAAACCACCAACCCTGTTGATAACCTTTGCCTAAAGTAGAATAAATATGTGCATAAACTCATTGACCATGAAACTGACCAGGGGGCAGTGGGGAGGAAAATTAACACCTGCCTTTACTGTTTCTAACAAAAGAATTAGCACCTCATTCCCACCTTCCCTCCAGAAAAGGGGAAGAAGATATGGATTGGGACTGGGGGAGGCTGATTTCACTTCTCCTTTTGTTTTAATCTGTAGAACTTTAAAAGAGAAAAATCTCTGCAGACAAGAAAATGAGACCAAAGACTGTGTCTGTGGGTCTTATCTTTGGAAAAGGCTTATGTTTACTTTCAATAAACTTGACTGCTTCTGAGACAATGAAAAGAATGATTGCTTAGATTATGTTTGATGATCTCAAAATGTCAAACAATAATAAGGGTCAGCCTTTAAGAGAGAAAATTATAAAATGAAAGGCAGGGGAGAGAAGGACAGCTGGAGGTAGATGCAGTCACATTCCAAGTGTCGCTTTATAAACGGAGAAAGTCACATGAAGAGGGGTCCTCCCACTTTGGTGAGCTGCATCAGAATCACCTGAGGAGCCTGTGACCAGGCAGACACCTAGCCCCCACTCCAGGAATTCCAACTCAACAGGTCTGAGTAACAAAGTGTCTAGAGCATCACTCTTTGAGAAATCCCATGCTAGAAGAAGGAAACATAAAAAGATGGGAGGCTTAGTGTTCCAGAGAGTAGGTTAGATTAGGAGACTCTGAATTAGCCAGAAAATTTAGGAATCCAAGTTACCCACAGAGAGGTATTAACAAGACAATTCACATGTTCCCATATATATAGGGCTGGTTTGCAGCTTGCGTGCACCTGCAGGGCCATACCAGTGATCTGTACCTAGTATCCGTGCTGATTGGCCTGGGCCTGTGCTATCCCAGTTGCCAAACCTTATGCATGTCATCATTGCAAGGACATAGTAAAAGTAGCTGAACACCAGCCATGGTAATTCTTAAAAATATTTAAGGGACCCTATTTGTAAAATTGACAAGTACACAAATATGCAAAGCAGATGAACATTTAAATGTTCGAAGGAGGTTTTGTTTCTTGTTATTCTTGCTTGAACTGAAATATTTGGTGATTTATGGAAAGTAAAAGAAAGCTGCATATGTGACAATGTTTCTGCCTAAAAGCAGGAGTATGGCCGGGCGTGGTGCCTCATGCCTGTAATCACAGCACTCTGGGAAGCCAAGATGGGCGGGTCACCTGAGGTCAGGAGTTCAAGACCAGCCTGGTCAACATGGCAAAACCCTGTCTCTACTAAAAATACAAAAATTAGCTAGGCATGGTGGCGGGTGCCTGTAGTCCCAACTACTCCAGAGGCCAAGGCATGAGAATTGCTTGAACCCGGGAGATGGAGGTTGCAGTGAGCCAAGATTGCACCACTGCACTCCGGCCTAAGTGAGAGAGCAAGACTCTGTCTCAAAAAAAATAATTAATTAATTTAAAAAGTAAATGAAAAGCAGGAGTGACTCCACTGACTTATTGCTGCTTCCCTCAGTTCTCCATGTTTGAAGTGAATTCAGTTATAGTGTCAAGGGTGCCTCATGCACTCAAGAATCAGAAATTGCTCTGTGATTTGCCTACCACCTGGACCCTCCTCAAAGTGAAGTGGCTGTCCGAGTGGCTGTCCGAGTGACTGTCCTCCTTCTCATCCTCTTGACTGATTTCCTCTCACCCTGCCCTCTGCCTCTACTTTGATCTGACCCCCTCCCCCTTAATCACAATGAGTCTGTTTATCTAAACATTATCGGGCTTTGGAGAAATTACACTACAGAAGCCAAATAGATAAATAAACTCTGATCTTAGACCTCAACTACATCAAGTTTATTAGTCCCATAGGGATGTTTATCTTGGAGAAGTGCAACTTCAGATCTGGATTCATTATTTGTGGAGGCTGCCAGATCCATCCATAGTACAATCTATGTGGGGAAAGGGCAAATGAGGACAGTGCTAATCCCAGCATTCAGGTTTAAGAGGCCCCCTAAAGAACATCTCTCTTACTGGCCTGGGTTCTGGGACAACTGAGAAATGAGAGTAAAACCTCTCTTTAATGAGAGACTAAATTGTCATCTTTATTACTGATAAATATTACAGTAGAGAATGTGGTGGCTAAGATAATGGAACAAATAGGCTTCCTCATCTTGGATCCCAGAATTTTCCATATTTTACCAGGCAATCACAAGAAAATACTATCCTTGTTTTAGCACTGAAAGCCCCACATCCCAAGAAACCCCTAAGTCCTGAGCAAACCTGGATGATGGGTCACCCCAGCTAGGCCAGGGTAGACTGCCTCCAACAGCATGGGGAGAAGAAGAGATTACACTTCCTACAGGCAGCTCCCTCTCGAGAGAGAGGAACCAGGAAGGCCTCAGTCGTACAGCCCAATTTCTCCTTCCAAACTCACTAATCAAATTAAGTAACTAAAGGACAACAGCATCAAGCTGGTGAATCCCCACCCCATGAAAGGAAGCATCTAAAGAGGGGGAAAAAATTCCTTTCCATCACCAAATTCTATCAATGTAACCAATACAAATGAACCCTTGACAATCCAATAGGAATTCACTGAAAATATGACTCTAGACTAATTTGAAAAGATATATAATTTCAACCCACCAGGCCAACATGGTGAAACCCTGTCCCTACTAAAAATACAAAAATTAGCCAGGCATGGTGGTGCACACCTGTAATCCCAGCTACCTAGGAGGCTGAGGTGGGAGAATCATTTCAACACAGGAGGCAGAGGTTGCAGTGAGCCAAGACCTCACCACTGCATTCCAGCCTGGGCTAGAGTGAGACCCTGTTTCAAAAAAGAAAAGAAAAGAAAAGAAAAGATATATAATTTTGTAGGTTTCATACAATAACTCAAACTAACTTTTATAAGTGTTATTTAATAATAGTTTCATTGTTTAATAAAGTATGCATGATATAATGGGGGTCTGTGGTTGGATTAGGCCACGTGATCAATTCTTGCCATTGATTTGCGAGCATAAGCAATACGTGTCATTTCCTGTGCAAATGTTTAATTTCCAGTGTGT